GCTTTTACAGCAGCTAAGAAATGATTGGTTTGTCGTTAGTCGGTACCCTCCTCACTCAATGTACAGACACTTATGGGCTCTTAGTCTGCTGGACATCATTTCCATGGAGCTTTCAACAGCTTATATGCATGGAGATACCCTTAGAACCATTGCTAGGTGGAGACTTGCTTATGACAAAGTTAAGGAACTAATTGACCTCCACTGATTCTTGCTGTATGAATGTATTTATTTATTTTTTCAACTTTTATTATGAGTTTTCTCTATGTTTCTACATGCTACATATTTTTGTATAATGAGAAAATGTTCACCAGAGGGTTTGTTTTTGGGTGGGAGGGGTGAGTATAAAAAATTTGTTTGTTTTTCTATTCTGTAAGTTTTCTCTTATTGTATTGCCAAATAAAAACAGTTAACAACAGCAAATTCAAAATAAACAGATTTTGCGTAATAATTAGTATAGTAGCAAATTAAAAAATAAAACATATTTGCTACATCAGCCTATATATGTGCCGCTGCCTTCATGCAAGGAGTGTGGTAAATGTGTAAGGTGTGCATGCAGCCCTTTTTGTTTGCACTAATGTGCCATTAGTGATAATAACAGCTGCCAATCTAAGCCTGCCTTCAAGTCATGTCAGAAAGATCGTAAATACAAGATGAGAGCACATGAACGCCACTAGCAGGTCATATTTATCAGTGGGAAACTCGGGATTTTATTTAAGCCCCGAATTCCTGAGTTGGAGGCGTGTCATTACAACAATCATAGCGGAGGCAATGGACAGCTCCACTGTGAAAGGCAAATTAGTAGTAAATTTTACATAGTGTATCATTGCAAAACTCCGAATTGTTTTGAATTTTGAGGAGATTGTTATTAAATGGTGTACCATGAGAATAAAATCATTTAGTTTTTGTCTTAATATTTAATATGAAGCTACCTGCTGTTTGAGCAAGGGATTACAAAAAGTTTGAAGCTACGAATGCCGTTTGGCATTGGAGGAGTGAAAGCAAAGCAAAAAAAATGAGCTTTCTTATCAACTGCATTTTGCTCCATCTTAATCGCTTGAACATGCCTCATGTTGTAATTATGATTTCCCAACTGCCTAGTGGGAGGCAGCATAGCACCCTCAACCAAAAGGCCGTAACGTAAAGAGAGTGGCTTCTCTGTCCTGAAGTCGTGAAGCTTAAATATTTTTAGACACAGTATCTGTTTTATAAAATGTTGCCGAAATAGATGTAGTTTATTGCTGATTCCATGTTCCTCCAAGTTTACGTTTAACAACTCTATAAAGTAATGTTATTTTTTATACAAATCAACTCGGCCCCCACCCCAACACCACCAACATTCACATACCATTAGGTCTATGTATAAACTAGGCTTGGGTGATATCTATTTTTTCATACCGTCATACCTTCCAGACATTTCACCCTGGTATATGGTATATATTTTAAATTGGAAAAAAAAAAATCATATAGCATACTATAAATTCCAGAATCAGCCACAGCCTTAAACAGGCTTATCAGTGTAGAGTTGTGCACTAGGAAAACGAGGAGGCAGCTCCTTGCTGAGGAGTTAAAAAGATCACCCTTCGTCTATTGACACCTGTCACTGGCTGATGTGTGGCTGCATGCGAACTAGGTTTCACATATCCTGCACGTGCTCCGACAGTTTACGGTGTGTTCACAGCGTATCTTGATTTTGTGGCATTAATTTACGCACGTGCATTATTCTTTGATTTAGTTTTTTTTAGTGAAGCTCCAGTCACCACTAATGCTGTGCACTATAATATATCCCCTCAATGTGGCATTTGCACATCAGGTTAACAGAAAGAGGCAGAGCATCTGTATACTCGATGGTATTAAAAACAATACCTTTGGGATTTCTAAATACCGGGCTATACCATAATACCATCATACCTCAACAATTGACAGGACCAGGAAGATACCCCCATTTTACATTTTCATAGTACTATGTATTCAGTAAGCGTTCAAAAGAGACTGAGAAATATCAAACTTGAAAAGGACGGGGGTGGGCGGGGGGTGGTTTCTCTGTTCATGCAGGAGATCTAATAGCATAAAGATTAAAGAAGCTAAACATACAGATACGCAAAAGACAGCCAGAAACAGACATGGTAAGTAGTGATATTAAAAATGAAAAAAATGTTGATGGTTTATAGGGTGAATATTCTAGCAAATTCTAGCCAATACAAAGTAGAAAACACACTGAGTGGGGGGTTTTCAGATGACCACAGGTCAGTTCTGGATGTAAGTATAACATTTTAAGAAGGCAGTATGTTTGTTAATATAATCCCTATTCCACACTCCTCACACATTCTGCTAATAAATCTGCAAATGTTTACTAGGGATTTCATCTCTGCAAAATTGCATGCTATGATTTATAGTGGTCTTTCCTGAAAACTAGTAACTTGACTTTTAACACATACGACAAAGCACTCCATAAAGCTGGGTAAAATGAATGGTAATGATAAGATTTGAGTTCTAGCTGATCGCTCCAATCAGAGTTAAGATGTCTCCTGATATCTACTTCATTTGGGAAAGTCACAGAGTGTTAAAATTATACCACGTGTAACCCCATAACTCTGCAGCCAGGCTTTATATAAAAATATAAAACATAGCGGTACAATTGCTCAAGACATGCAGTTAGGGTGACTGAAATCTCCAAGCTGCCCATAGTTTTTGATTGTGTGTACATGTGTATCCCACCCTATGCTGCCTGGGACAGGCTCCTGGTGATTCTGAACACAATTGGATAATGGATGGACAAATAGACTATCATAAACAAAAACAATTACATGTATAAACAATTAACTTACCTATATCAATATAAACACAACAGGGAACAGCATAACTAGGCAGGAGCAATGTTTGCAAAAAGCCATCATCTGCCTTGGTGAATGGATGGTGGTCTTTCCACACGTTAGGACTCAAACATCACTGTCCAGTATCAATACTATCAATCACACCCAAAAAATCAAATCACTTCAATAACACGAAAACACAACAATTTCAAAGGGGATATCATTTTTACCTGTTTTTTTTAGAGGCAGCCCCAATAATTCTTACAGGGTATGGGGAAGAAATGAAACAGCAGATCGTCATTAATTAGGGTCAGATTATTACTTGTGAACAATTAATGGAAGGCAAATGCTGTGAGGGAGTGAAATTGAGAGAGGAGAGGGCGCTCGATTCCATGATGGAAGAAGGGTCTCTCTCCCTTCAGGTGTCCTCGCCGCGATTAATGAAGATTGCGCTCATTCTGAATGCATTACGGCATACGGCGGCGCATGGTGCCACCCGCGAGCTGCCACCCTCTTTCGGAAACGCACGTCACGTCAAGGGAACCGGCCATCGTTTATTATTCCACGCCACATTTCGGCAAGTCCTCTGGAGGCTGCCTCACGAGTTACCGAGTCAGAAAGACATCAAAGCTGGAGTGTGAGATGCGCGAGCACAGAACTGTGGACCCAGAAAGGCTGCTCTGCATAACAAGAGCGTCAACTCAGACATGTCTGAGCAACACACATGATGCATATTGCAGTGATTTTGGATTTTCTGTTTAAAGAAAATGTTAATCAGGGGGTAAATTAAGTCTGAGCCTGGTGAACCTGGACCCTACCCCAGGAACAGCGAAAGCTTGGAAATCACTGAAGCAGCTTTACTTTGGCCAGAAAAAGAGCAGATTCACACCATCAATCCAGTCATTAAAACTGAGCAAGTTATTTTCTAGACTCATTCCAGTGTGGATACAGTGACCTGACCTGACCTGTACAGTGATTGCATAATACAAAACTGACAAAAAGCTTAACTCTAGCTATTGATTAATCAATACAATTACAACAGAGAGAGTAAAAAACTTAGTAATATTTGAGTTGACAAAGAAAAATCATCCATCCTACTTGCAACTGCTTATCAAAGTACAGTGTCACAAGGGAGACTAGGATCCTATTCCTTTATGCATAGTAGAAGCTCAATAGCAAAATTGACTTCAACACCAATGGCAGTTTTGGTACCACCATATCAATACAAATGGATACTAAATCAATACTATAAAACATTCCCACTGAAATATTACACTGCTTTGAAATAACCCGGCATATTAGAAATTAAACCAACAGCAACAGCCTATAATCATTTTTAACATTAACAATGAAATTGGCATAGATCAGCACAATTCCATTCAATGCTCAGATTCTGATATTAATTTAGCCTAAGCTGTTGCAAAGCATGATCAATAATACACTAACGTTAGTATTACATTTGTTTGTTCTGTTCATCATTTAGCTTAGCCTACTTTTTCATCACTGGGGAAAGAGAAATGAATGAGCTTGCATGTAGGCTAAACATGACTTTTAACAGAAACACAAAACATAACAACTCATAAATTACATCACTATGTGTCATCTATTACCATGACGATCTTTAAACGTCGTAAATAAATCAGGGTGAGCGTTAGGGTGAGAGATCGATGCTTCACCAGGTTAGACATATTGCCTCTTTGTATCAGCGTTTACATACTGGGGCTGTTAGATCTGCAGGTTCACTCTGTTCATTCAGTTTAAAACGAAAATACCGCCATTTTTCACTCTGCCGGACTGTTTATAAACTGTAGGCAGGCAGTGGGCAACAGCGGATTCCTTACATGGGGTTCCAGACTAACTTTTGCAGTGGCAGGACTGGTGCTACCAACTTTCTCCGTTTGTATCTGAGAAACTCTGTATCACAATTTGTTAATGAAATAAATTTTTGGTATCACAATACAATACCGATAACCAATAAATCGATAAACTATAGTGCATAAAGGGGTACAGTCTGGATGCGAGTAGAAGGAGATCATCACAATCAGAGAGGGTTTGAACACCCAACCCTGGTGGTAGGAAGTGACAGTGCCATCCGCTGACTCACCATGCTGTCCCAAAAAACACTGAAATAAGAATAATCATTTACTGAAACACACAGATTCAGACGGGCAAGGTGATTTACTGCCTCACCTTCTCTGGCAAAGGTGCCGGGGTAAATCTACTCGCGCAGACAAGGAAGGGGTCGGGGTATGGCTTGCCGTTCTTCACGTCCTCGTCGTCGCCCAGCACCACATGTTGAAACAGGCCAAAGAAGTCCTTGTGCTGGCTGGTCTTCATGTCGAACGTTAGACGCGCAGAGCTAGTGGCGACAGCCATCGGCACGCCTTCATTGTGTAGGTGATGGACAAGTTTCTCCACGCCTGGATGGGAGGATGGCAGGGATGTGAGGGGTTACAAAAGAGCAGTGCGCACATTTTTTCCAGAATTCACAATTTCCAATAAAAACACATCAGTATGTGTCAAATTCTTCTGAATGCATGTCATCTCTGCATGTAATAAACCTATTACCTGTGGTCCCTCTATAGCACTGTCATTACTATTTAACACTATTTAATTTTAATAGCAAATACAGATTTTTAATGACTATAATTACTAAATAAACCACATAGGATATTAAATTTCAAGTACATTTAACCTCACTGATAAATCAATAGCCATTCACTTGAGCTGATGCTGACAATGGTCTTTCTGAGCAACTTAAGTGTAATTATGATCAAACTGTAGGTTACTAGCTAGTGGCAAATGTTGCTGGATGGCTTGAGGTTATTGTTGGGATTAGAGGTCGACCGATATATTGGCCGGCCGATATATCGGGCCGATATTTGGCATTTTTTAATGTATCGGCCAATATCCTTGCGTAGTACGCCGATTTACAGACAGGCACATCTGCGGGTAGCCCAGTGTTATTGTTGCTGGGGAAAACGTGACCCATGCAGCCTTGTGCAGGACCCCAGCCAGAAGTTTTTGAAGAGTCCTGGGAGAAAAAGGTAAGGCTTAAATTCTGATCTTTCATTTGTTTAACTGGTTTGCTATGAAATGTTGCTTTAAAAGAAAATTTTAATTATTACCATATCAGCCCAATGTTATCAGTTCTGTTTTTTTTTTCTTGTGTCAGAGAGTTTCACTCTGTGTGTGTGGAGCGGAGCAGACAGCTCTCCCCAACACTGCAGCGTGTGTTAGAGTTGCGTTACTCTGCCCCGATCACAGACAGCACCATTCTCGGAGACACAGAGCTGCTAAGAACAATGCATGGTGGAGAAAACTGTTTGTTCGAAAGCGTGGTTACTATTCACTTGAGCTGATGCTGACAATAGTCTTTCTGTGCAACTTGTTTGCATTTGAGAGCGGAGATTCAATCAATTTGTCAGACGTCTAGATAAAAAGTGCACGACTTTGCGCAGTTAGTTTCCTCATTAAACATGTCTATCCTTTATATGGGCTTATCCATCGACAACGTCACAGGGGCTTACGTTGTCCTTGCATACAAGGCTGTGTAATACAACAAAGTTATTTTATTTTCTGCGATCGCTAGATTCTGATTGTGAATTTGGCTTGTAAGCTATCTGTCTGCTAATAACATAAACATGTTAGTGAAAGGTTTTGGGCCTTGTACACTACTCATCATACCATGATGCACTTAGTTACTAGTGTTTTTTTTTCTTTCAAAATGTATTAGAGTGTAATTGTTTTAATGTGCATGGAATACTGGAAATGTAGAATAAATTGAAGATAAAGGCACTATAATAAAAATGCTAACCTTGCATTTTTTGTTCTGTTTTAGTAATTGCTGTCTGATGGCTGAACAAAAATCTAATCCTGTATGGCAGCATTTCACCAAGCCAAGTTTAAGTTATTGTTTACAAGTTGTATTGTGTTTTTGTTAAGTTTATATTTAAATTTACACAAGTCAATATTCAATAAATGCCAAGTTGAAAAATTTTGTGTATCATTTATTATTATTAGTGTGATATTTTATCATGCAAATAGAGGGGAAAACTTCCAATTATCGGCCAAAAAAAATCGGCAGCATGTATCGGCCATCGGCTGACCCTGACTCCTAAATATCAGCATCGGCTATTGAAAAACCCATATCGGTCGACCTCTACTTGGAACTGCAGGTCCTGTGGAATTGCAGTGAAATTCATTGGGACACGATGCACACTGCATGCCCAAGCTCAAAGGAGCACACAGTGCTAAGTTTTACATCAACAATGACCAAAAGCAGCTACCTTATTCTGCTGATTCGCTGAAATGGTTGACACACGTCTTGCTAGTGCCCATATTTGACTAAACTAATTGTGAGGCACTCACCCATACAGCTATCTTTTATGCTGACACTAAATGTGATCAGTAGAACAAAGCAGGAGAGACGCAGTGGGTGTCAGTTTTTGAGGTGTAGGAGATATAAACCAGCCCACAGCCCATCAGGTAAGATGACAGACGGAAAACAACACGCTCACTAGACAGTCACCTGGCATCAGCTTAGCTGTAGGGAACAGTTCCTGCTGTATCTTCCTACTTTCCTCTAGTAGATCTTCAGGTGTCATTGGAAGTGCAAGGCTGTCCCGGATTATGCATGCTGCATCTAGTGCTTTTTTGCCCATTACTAATGATTTTACGTCCCAAGTGTACTTCTTACCAAACCGATCACATATCTGTTGGAAAGAAACTGTATACAGCCTCTCTGTATCTGCAATCAAAACAACAACAATAATGAACCCACTGATTATTATTAATAATACATTAATGTCACTTGAATCCCATATTTAGCAAAATCTTATCTTGCTGACGAAAATCGTTACCATCATCATCATCATCCGCCAATAATTTGTTAAACAATGTAAACTTTTCCCTTGGCGGCGTTGTAGGAGTGCAAAGACAGCAAGCCATGCCCCATCAAGCGAAGCGTAGGTCAAAGTGCAAAATTATACTAACTGCCCATAGCCATTATTGATGTTCTCCTTGTTCCAAAAGTGGACTTTAAGAGCATTTTTAAACACCCCATAATGATTCCTTCTAATAAAGGAGCTGTACTAAGATAGCGAAGTGCTTTCTTTAAGCATTTACGAACCTAATAGCAGTCCGTCCATGTCGAAAATGGCATGTGTCACTGGCTTGAAACTCGCCTCCATCTTCTCTGACTGCATCTACGGAAAAAAACACGGTCCGGCATACGAATTGGGTGTATAATTAATATATATGCATATATTTTAATTAAAAGTATACACAGCACTATCTAAAACTGTGAAAGAAAACAGACGTATCGCAAAGAGACAACAGAGATCGCAACACGGAAATAAAGAGAAACCGTTGCATGAAGGGAAATGTAGTTGAATTCTGGGAGTATCTACAAATTACCCATTCAACCGAAAACGTCGGTAAGGTATATTAGTAGAAGGAACACAAATAAAACAAACGTAATAAAACTGAATCTTGAAGTGAATGAGATGCTAATGTGCTGGTCGTTCCACGTTCCATACATGCATGGTTACTATTGGTTACTAACTTACTATATGTTAATCTGTTGTACCTTCCCCATATGTGACTGGTCTGCTTACAATTACTATTAGATTGTGTCATTGCACTAATGCCTCTGCTTAGATCGACATCAATTGTTTACCATTTCCTCATTCACTGGCTGCGGATTATAGGTTTAAATAATAGGTTATAGATTATAGGTTTTGTAGTTTATCTAAACTGGGTGAACCCTAACCTTTGTGCCCTGTGCAGCCTGGAAGAGGCTTCTGTCCCACCATGGCCCTGACCAGGGTAAGCGGGTGGAGGATGTATGGATGGAGTTTCCTACTTTATGTAAGAGAACCAGGGATCTTTTGGCATGTGGTAGAATTATTTCACCAAAATGAAGATCTGAGTTCAGGCTGCAGAAACTAATTTTTTCCTTGGCTTAATGCGCTTGTGCCCTTGCAATTGTCACTGAGCATCATAACATAAAAAGTCAATAATTTCCCTACATTCTGGTGGTCATTGATCTTCCAGTTTAAACCAGATTACCATCCCTCCCTCACGGCCAGATATTTGGTAGAACAGATTATAATGGGCTATCAAAGCTACAACAGTTCCATAAGCACTACACAGAGAACTAGTTATGTGACTAATAGGCATATCCTTAGATGGGTAGTAACCAAAACTTAAAAAGAAACATTTTAGAAGCCACGAATGAACAATAGTTAATTGTGAAATTGTATATGTGACAGAAATATAGAGAACTAAATCCATAACACAGGTATATAGATATAGAGTACCTACTTTAAAGGTATATGTACTGATTTAAAATATTAACATGGGTGTAAACATTTCTAATTTTTCTTTTATATTGCTGCTAAGTTTCTGTTTACATGCACATCTGTTCAGTTGTCTTAGAAAGAATTAATTATAGATTTCAGACAGACCAGTGGACCTTTGATCTATAATCCCTAATATTGAATTAAATATCAATATAAATAACATGTGTCTCATTAGGAAGAACAGAGTTTCAGGGGACTTACCAGGTCTATTTAACAAGTGTATGGATTTTAGTCTAATTGTCTGAATTGAAGATCTGTTCCTGGCAGTTCTTGGCACTGGACCACTGCGATGTGTGCTTTTAGGCGCAATGGAAAAGTCAAATATTCCATTGGGAAAAATAAAAGACCAAAACCTTTTCAACCAATTAATGTTAAAAATAATTAAAAAAACATTGGAAGTCTAATTATTAGATTTTTCGTTCTTTTTTAATAGACTTGGGAGAATGTCAGTTGAGATTTTGTTATTCAAATTAATATTTAATCAAAATTGTTTTTCATGCTTTTTGGCCCACAGCTCATAAACATCACAAAATGTTGCTTTACTGAAAACACCAAAAGTTCATCCCGTATTGTTCCTCTTCATACAACTTCATAAAATTCTCACTTCCAGTTGTTCAGTAATGACTTTTGCCACTTCATTGGAACAACTAAGTAAGGCTGCTGTGAATTACATGTACAGTTTGATCTTATGTTGTCTGGTATTCAGGTTTCAACCATTTACACTAGTTCAAATTACATTTTTAATAAAAAAAAAAAATTGACAAAGAGAAGGGTGTTTTGCATTTATATAATTAGTCTTGCAAATGTTTTCTTTAATTTTGAATAACTGATGTGCATTAGACGCCAGTGCTATTCCCCAATCATTCATGCATAGTAGATAATACGGGAGCTCGCATTTTAAATTAGCAAAAGTTAAACTGAATGCAAATATAACCACAAAGATCAATAGACTTTGCCGCAAGGAAAACAGAGCAGAGCGGTTCTTCAAATACAAATCAGTCTGTGATGATCGGTGGCGAAACACACATTAGTAACACAGACAGCCCTCCGATAAAAAGGGTAATGAAACACAACAGTTACTTTTAAAGGGAGCCCTTATGCATTTACAAGCTGTATGATGGCCTTTGAAATTAGTTCGAACTGTAACTGTCTTTCATTGATTGCATAACGAAGAAATATCAAGATGTAAATTAGGTTAGTTCGTTTAAAAATATGCATTTTTTAAGTTAAATTAAAGCAAAGAGAAAATCAAGGGTCATAGTATAATGAATGTCACAAATCCATTTGTATATTCTCTTCTTGCTTCATTATCTCCATAATAGCAACAGTGCATTACCTGAGTCCTGAAAAGGGCACCAATTGTCAGCAAGGCACACTGAGAGTGCACACACCCATGCTTCTGACTACCTGTACTAGGCTCTGACAGGAAATGGGCAGTTGACTGCAAGATACAGTATGTAGTGGAGGCATGCAAGAACTGAAGCACTTGAGATGGTGTTGAGGAGCAAAACAAAGCTAGGAGATCAGGGTCAGTCCTAGCCCATGTAACGCCCTAGGCGAGCACCACCACCAGTGCACCCCCTCTGAGACCAAGCGAAACTGGCAGGCAAGTCGACGCCCCCTCAGAAGCTGGCACACCACACTGCATCGCGGTTCAGTGCTGGCACTAGAGAGTGCACAAGCACTTTTAGGGGCAAGATCAAGACGATTCACACTTGTGAAATCTGCTGGCCCCTTAGAAGCTGGTACCGTAAACAGCCGCCTATATTGCCTATAGGATTGACTGGCCCTGAAGTGAGTAGACATTAATTAGTTTAATATCTTTTAATCAAAGGCAACATAGGATGCTGTCACTTCTGTATATATTTCATAATTAACTGCAGTAGCTCATTGGTTCAATAACAATAAACTCAATATACTATACATTTGAATTTTTCGTTGGACCGCCGTTAGCTTTCATTATGGCAACACATTTGTCATGGCATTGTTTCCACAGGCTTATGCAACATCTCACCCTTTATTTTCATCCAGACTTGCATTCATTTCTCACAAAAATCCTATACTGACAAGTGAGTTGAACCACTCCATAAAGCCTCCTTCAGCACATCCCAAAGACCTTCAATGAGGTTAAGGTCACAACTCTGTGGTGACCAAGTCATGCGTGAAAATGATTCCTCATGCTCCCTGAACCACTCTTTGACAATTCGAACCCAATGAATCTTGGCATTCTTGTCCTGGAACATGCCCATGCCAACAGGGAAGAAAAAAATCCATTGATGATGGATGGAGGTGTAACCTGGCCATTCAGTAGATTCAGGTGCTCAGATGACTTTACTGCTGCATAACGTTGCAGGGCTGTAATAATGATCCAGTCATTGGCTCATAGGTATTTGCTGATATAAATTCAAATGGCGAGGTTTTTTTGGCCAGGCAGTATATATCCCCTTACTTTACAGTGCATTTATTCTGGAAGAAGGGGTGCTGGGGGTGCAGTGGGCCTATTGCTATGGATTAAAACCAGTAATTAAGATAAAAGCCAGCTTGTGTTTTCATGCTTCTTATCTTGTTGATGGCTTGTTCATAGCTACTGATACAGGTGCAAAAGAACTTCAGTAAAGTTTATTGGTCGTGCCAACAGTCAGCACCATGAGCTTAAAGCATCTTCCAAAGTGTATGCATTTATTTTAATTTCATTATATTTTCCCTTTTCTCCTTTTAGAGAAAAACTCACAATGCTTGTATTCTGGAGTCCTTAACTGATATGGGACTGTGAAATGAGAAACTAAGCATCATGTTAGAGTAGTTTAACAAAGTTTCTTTTTTTGCCAGTCAATGCACAGCTCACGGCGTGTACTTTGGATTTGGTTTAGAAATTCTACCTGACAATGTATCTCCTGCTTTGGTGGTGGTCTTGGAGCTAATAAGATGTGTCTGTAATTCCATTACATATTAAATATTGTTAAAAAATAGGTTCTCTGCAGGTTTCCTTGACAATCACCATTCTGTTTTATCTATGGGGGGTTGAAGAGAAAAACTTCATCTTCTGACAGTGGGCTTTGCACTTTTCTCTGAATCGTACTTTAACTTAATTTCTGGAAGCAGATGCTAACAGCTTAGTACTGATTAACAGTGTGGTCCTAGTATGACTCTACATCACAAGGCATGTTTCTTCAAATAAGCAAGTTTTGATTTTCTCCACTAGCTCTTCTGCACTGCGGCCCACCCATCTCACTAACGATTTGATTGTGGATATTCTGAGGTATTGGTGACATAACTAAGTTCGAGACTGATCCAAAATCTTTAAAGTTCCATTTTCTAAGGCTAATTCATATGAACTTGTATTTGACTTTATATGGACCATGTACCGAGATGTATCTTTTTGAGTCTTATTATAAATGTGTTTGGAAAAAAACGTATGAAAAAAGTGTTTAAGATATTCAAATGTTTTCATGTATTTTCATACAAGGTTCATACAAGCTCTTTGTAAGCTCTTTGGTGTAAATGCCTGGTAAAAACTGCCCAGGGAGGCAAAACTATCATAGGGAGGCATTCATATTTCAGATTTTGTAAAAAAAAAAAAAAAACTCCCCTCTACATTCTGAATTCTGTAAAATGTGTAATAGTGTGCTGAGAACTGGAGAGAAAAAAACGGAGCCAGAGGTATAATCCGATATGTATCTGAATCCGCTTTATTTGGTGATTGGGAGTTCACCTTAAAATATAACTACTACTTTTACAATAAAATATATAACTTTAGGACATTTACAGAGAAACCTCTTGGCTTTTAAATCCAACAAGAGAAAATCTATTGCAATTAGAACTTTGAACAGAAGATATATTTAACTTATTGAACTTATTCGGTGGAGTCCAAATTAAAGTTAAGAATAAGTCCTTTTGCAAGGAACTAATTGATCAGTGAAATAAAATGAGTCATTATGAAAAATACTGTCTGCTTTAATGCACTGAATACTTACCTCAAAAAAGTACTGCTCACTTCTGAATATTTTATTCTGCAAATGAATAGAATATG